GACAGCAGGTGGCTGTAATGCCTTTTTTTTTTAGCTCCTTCTATCAGGCACCATGAGATAAATATGACCGAACATAAAACCAAAACTGACCGTAGTTTTCCCCCCAAGCTCATCTTTTTCTGTACAACATGCTTCCGTCGACATACAATTTGAAGAAAATATATCATTGGCATTTTATTAATATTGGCTACTTCAAATGGAGTTATAAAAAATAGGACTGTTTCGACTTTTTTGTTTTGATCAGTGCTAGACATTTTTAAATGATCGTATACTAGCCTACCTGGAAAACACAGCAAGATATCTAACAATCGGGAAAACTGAGGAAACGGAAAAGAAGTACTTTCATTGTGATTTGCATTCCTTAATAATATTTATTCTTTTTAAAGGATGTTATATATGCAAAAAAACGGTTTTAATATTTAAGGATTTGTCTATGATATATTTTACAGTCGTGTTCGGTTTCAAATCAACAACAGCGAAAGTCTATGCGACGCTTGACGGTCAGACATCAGCACACCCATGGAAATGCGTCCGGCACGGACCGCAGCTTAGAGGTAATCCTCAGGTCGCGCAGCATCCTTGGAGGACAATGCCGTCGTTTAACCATGTGGTTTTATTAATCGGCGTCTTCCTCGTCGCGACTGGTGGGGCGACTGCGTTTTTGGCTTCAGAAAAGACCACGAATCATGCGTTTAGCCTTTGCTGTGTTGTGCTCGGGGCCCTTCTATTGATCCTAGGACTTTTTTGGGCTATGAATGGAAAGAACAACCAAGTCCCTTACGGCGACGATTACAGCCACGTCCTCTTCACCCCTCCGCCCGGTAGTCATTTCCCCGAATCGCAGTCCGTTCTGCTACAGAGGTTAGTTGCATGGGTTGTCTCAATATAGCGTATATTTTACTGCTATTTCGCATCCTCAAATGTTACCCACTTCTGTTTGACCAGAAAATCCTTTCTAATAATATAATCTAAAATACTGACATACTTCTTACCTTTCAACGCATGCATAAAAAAGATTACTTAACAGGCTTCAGCTTAGTCCTACTTAAACTTTTTGTTTGTATTTCGCTTTATTTTACTTCTTCGCATTGCTTCTGGTCTATCTGACGAGTGGCGGTGTTATTGAATCACTTGTCCTCAACACGTTTAGAAATTGTACATAAAGATTGCACTTAGATTGTTAAACGATTAACCGAGTTCATAACCCAAAAAAGGCTTTTGTTATATATATATATATATATAGTATACATTTTTCTTTTCTTATCAATTTAAGTGGATTTTTAGTATATTTTCCTGTTTACATTCTATATGCATTGTAATATACGCATTTTTAGAGATCATCCTCCTTTCATTTTCTAACTGCTTTTCCTTGTTAAGGTGGGGGGAGGGGGGGGCTGCACCCACATCATTATTATTGCTCTCCTTCAGTCGAGTCTGGTATGGATAGGTATTAAATAAAGCATAAACTCATATTAGTCAACCACTTGAGGAAAAACATCTGAGTTTAACTAACTGAAGTTTATAATTTTTTCATATGACAAACGTTGCTTAAGGATTCTTGCATCCCATTTAAAGTAAAAAGAATGTAGACCAGGGGTCACACCTGCTCCTGGTATTTACCTGAGAACTGGTGTGGCTCATCAGAAGCCAGGTATGATAGAAAACTTACTGGATAGTAGCCCTCCAGGACCGGAGTTGGTGACCCCTGATGTAGACAATACCGTTGGTTAGGACATTTTTAATTGTATGCCACGTACTAACACATTTCCCATCCTGCTATGCTTAATGAAAAGATAAAGATTTGTCCTAAATAGGAAACTAAGAAATGTCTTATACTTCATTATCAGGATGGAAATATGCAAATAGGAATTGAACTGGATGAAATTCTCATTTTCATTTCTTCTAGAACACTGGAGAGGCAACGATGTGGAATTTACGGAGAGGACTTTGACTACCCTCCGTTGGAGCCCACTTGTTTCAGCCCTCCGATGAATCCATCATGCTGGAACATGGAGGCCCCTCCTCCATATGAAGTCGCCATCAGGACCACCAGGAGCTCCACGCATCTGCAACGCAGCTATTCAGACACACTACTGGCCACTGAGCCGCTGTTTAGCCGCTCTCGGGAGATTAGCTTTGAAGTGTGACGTTCCACGTTGCGTCCATTCCGAGTGGGATGTTCCCCTTCTCTGGCAGTGGCAGCTATGAAGTGATGCTTCACAATTCCTGCCCCTGTTGGCCTCAGTTCTGCCTTCAAATTTCTGGATGCCGTATTGATGTGATACGTGATATTTTCTATTGTTTCTTAGCAGAAGAGATGACTGGTCTGGCTATAATGAGCACAACTTCTAAGTTGCAGATTTTGAGTCAGACAGTTCAAAAAGCAACGTACGCACTTCATACAACAAGTTATTGATGTATTTAGCATGAAACAAAACAGCTTCCCTGGATAACTATACAATCAGCCACTTTCCTCAGGAAGTGAATGAATTTGCAAAAAAATAAATAAATAAACAAATAACATTTATTACCATAGGCTACACATAAAATAAGCATGCATGATGTCACCCAGGGAATATGAAAAGTGCAATTAGAAATTAATTATACCACAAGTTGCCTTTCCTTAATGGATTACCCATCTGCATTGGATAAAGCTATATCCAAATGGAGATCTCACAGTTGATTTGATTGCACAGATCAAACGGGCCTTTTACATTATGCAAATACGACCTCAATGTCCAAGACACACCAATGAAATGCTTAATTATGTACAGTGTACTTAGGAATGATGACTTGGAACTACAATCGTGTGCTATAATGACAAGAAAGGCACATGCTTTGGTCATTCTATATAAGTAAATAAACATGGGTTTTGCCCTCACCCTTTGTTCTGGATGATTGACTATTTCTAAGTGTCTGCATATTTGACTGTAAAAGTTACAATTATTATAATCATTTTAACTTTAAAAATACATTTATTTAATAGTAAAGGACATGGCTTAATGGCACGGTGGTGCAGAGGTTAGCGTTGTTGTCTCACACCTCTAGAGCAGGGTTCGAGTCTCTGTTATGCATGTGTGTGGAGTTTGCATGTTCTCCCTTTGTCATCATGAGATGTCCTCTGGGTACATACATTACAATCAGTTCTGGGTACTGGATGCTGATCATTAACCACAATTACTATCCAACAGAAAGACACCAGGGGGACATAATGACCCCTCTGAGACAACTAATCCAAAACCTTCAATCCCGTTGCTGAGTATCACTATAAACGACTGATGCCTTGTTCTGTATTTCATGATTCTATCTTAGCTATTCCTAAGGGTTTTAAACTGTTGTATTGACTGGTTTAGCTGCAATGTAATGCAAACAAGACCTAACTAGCAAGCATATTGAGTCAAATATTTACTAACAAAAGCTCTATATACATCTTACAAGATGCCAGAATGTTTGGAAGGATTTTGCAAGAGATTTCAAGGAAAATGTTCCACAAAATATAAACAAAGAAAATGCGCATGATTTCATGCATGGGATACAAAAGAAATAGGGAATTTTACCACAAGCTGCTTTTCTTAAACAGCACTTAATACAGTGCTGTTTTGATATTAAAGCAATAAAAATAAATGATTATAAAACAAAAGGAGGACAATGATAAGGGAAAGGACCGTTTTCATTTTATTTTTCAATAATTTTCATTTTTCATTTTATATTGTCAGACTCATACTTTAAGTAATTGGACGTATATGCCCATTCTGACAGCAGCCAACGAATGTTTATGACATGTTTTGCACAAAATAGGTAATAAATATATAAATATGCTGTATATACATAGAAGTATATACATGTATATAGCGTAAAAGAGAATATGTATTTAATAATATAATAATAAAGTAAATCATAGTCTATGAGGAATTGTTATTATGAAACTGGCAAAGTTGTTACATTAAATACATGTAATGTTAGCTGTTATTTTCTGTAAAACAATCAGCTATGACCTTGTACGTACATTTCCACGATGAAGTAAGCTATAAAATGTGATTCAACCAATATGCCAATTAGGTGTTTTATTTGCCCTGGTATTTATATTACATAAATCACTAAATTGATCCACTGGAGAGTGTTTTCCTCAAGGTTAAAAGGAGCTGCAGCTTGGAATTTACGTTAATGAATGTAATTTTCTCTCGACGACAGATGGGATACGTCAATAAGCGCCACTCAGATCAGCGCGACCCGCGGCGGGTACCGGGCAGTGGACAGCAACAGGCTGCTTGCGGTGAGCAGGAGCAGGCGCAATGTGTCTTAAGTTCGGTTATGAGAAGAAATAAGGTGCCGCTGAAGTTGGAAATATGGTGGAAAACTGCAGGCACACCCAAGTCGACACTCTGTATCTGTCTGCTCGTTTGGCGTCTCCTTCCCGGAGCTGAAATCTGCTACGAACTTACTTTATGCAGCCTCAAAACCCATTGTTGCGCTTTCTATACTTAATTTGTATTTTTTTTAATCTAAATCCGTGGATTTACAAAAGACACATCCAAACATTTTTAAACAAAGAGATCGGCTAAGTTAAACTTCTTCTTTCTTTCTTTGTTTTTTTTTTTTTTTAAGTTGCTCTTATTGCAAAACAGAATTTAAAAGCCGGGGAGACGAGCGAGGATGACCCGACGTGCTCGACCCATTTTGTAATTTACTCAGCACGTCCAAAGGTTTGTAGAAAGAGTGCATGAAACTGCGTCCTCTTGTCGGTAAGCAATTCGCCATTGATTTGCAGACTCGCGGGCAAGGCTTTGGGATCGTGCGATCTAACGTATACCTATGGAAATTAGTAAATGTCCGTTTTTCTAGCTCTTTTCGACAATGCCTGTATGAATATCTTTTGTTGGGGGTTCTGCTAAGTGTACCGCTTAAACCACGATGGACACAACATATTACTTTGTCAGGATGTAGTTTTATTTCGACATCAATTTTCATGCCCAATCACGCGTGTTGAATGACCACACACACACACACACAAAATCAGCAATCATGTCTTTACTAAGAGAAAACGTTTATATTAATCCTGAATACTTTGGAGTTTACACGAGTTTCCCATTTCAGTTTTACCACAGTAGGAAGAAACTATAGAAATTAAAATTGATGTGGTGGAAGAACCTTAATGATCGTAGTGTAAATTTCCTGTAGTTAGGCAGGAGTTTGGACTAACACTGGAAAGATATCATTGTTCTTGGTTCGATGTGACAAACACAGACGTACGCCAGATTAATACCTTACCTATTGGTTGTCACACCACGGATGTGCTCTTGGCTCACCTCTGTACTCTGCTGGACCGCTTCCCACAATAATGTGCTTCTGCTCCTCGTCAACAGGGTCCATAAAAGCCACGAACGGAGGTGTGCAGTGTGACATCCAGGACAGGGATGCCACCCCCTCACGGCGCAGTGGTGTCACTGGGCATCCTCTTCATGACGGTGGGAGGATTGTTGTTCCTGTGTGTCGGCCATGTGGTGGCCTGGTTTGGCCTGGGACTGGGCATGTTTGGGATCTTCCTTATGGTGCTGGGCCTCTGCCTGGGCATGAAGTCCCATCACATGACCGTCCCTGGTCATTTTATGCTGCAGCCTCGTACGGGGACTCGCTACTCTCGACACCAGGCTACCATTATTCAGAGGTACGCCAGTCTGTCGCAGTGTCACCCTGCCAGATCTGCTATCATGTAGATCCTAGTGTCATCTTTTAAATGTGATTTTAAAAAAGAGTACTGTATTTTACACACATAATTAAAACTGAAGTCTTGGTGCAGGTTGTAAGCTGTAGAATCTGTCTGCCTCCCAAAAGCTTGTAATCTTCAGGTAAAGATAAAACTGACGTGATGGATTTCCTGCTTGTAGAAGCAGGTCAAGGAAGCAGTTCGAGAAAGGTTCTGGTCCACACTTCCCTTATTCTGCTCTGTTTATAATCTGTGTCTGTCAGTGCTGTTTATGTTAAACACTAGCACTGCTAAATATCACGCGATACTTTTGTCTCTGAGGATACACAGTGTCTTCAAAAATGTGCAGGAAGTGAGTGAAATAAGGTGTAAAGCATGTGTAAATTTCACATTCTTGCTTAGAGCAACAGTAAAGCCTTTTGACAAGAAATAAAGATATTAGAAATGTTAGTCTGGATAAAGTCACACATTCATTTATATTTACTCTATATGCCTTTGCACTTCATTTCTATCTTTTTTGTTAATAACACCAAATTAAAGTTGTACAATTGGGAAGACAGTGTTAGCATTAGCAGAACTTAACCAGATGAACAGCCATCATAGCTGAATGAGCATTACAATCAGTTCAGCGTGTCTGTTGAAGTGCTTAGCAAGCTGGGATAATTAGCACAACAAAGGGGTTGAAGGTCTTGCTTTTTATTGCGAGTGGAATAAATATGGTTTCAGAGTGTAACTCCACACAATGTGGACTCATCTAACAAGCCGGGAAAGCGAGAGTATGACGGTTACTCTTACTCAGATGCAGGATGTCATATTTCCGTAGCTGTCAGCCGTCTGTTGCCAGTGGAGTACATGAAAGGTGCTCTACATGAGTTAGCATGCACGTTTCTGTATTTATTTTTATTGATGTAACTGGGAACGCAGCTGGTCAGGTTCCTAGGCATTTACGTAACAATTTTCTAACACATAATTTCTTTTTAACAACAAAATACATGGACTGAATGTAGTGTTATTGAGTGCTTATCTGTAGGCAGTATTCATTAGGTATGAAGTACGAGATACTCACTGAATGTTCCTGATATGGTAGACATGGAATTTATTGCCAAAATGGCCTTTTTCCTCCAGGAGGCTTGACCGAATGCGCAGAGCCATGTCTGAGAACACTGAGCCAGCAAACAGCCACATGCACACTCAACCTGGAACTCTGCCACCGTGGAACACGGACCCACCACCCTCGTATGAGACAGTCATGAAAACTGCTTTGGACAACGTCCAGCACCACTGATGCTCACAGGTCCATTTAGTCCATCCTTAAGGTGACCGAACACAAACTGAAGTACAGGGAACCCACGCCACAATAAGCACACTCTAGTCTGTAAGCGTGCATGGATAAAACGGAGTGTCCCACTAGAGTGTTCAGCGTACACAGGAGCGGGACAAAGGAGCAAAGAGTTCCTTCATTTATATCCACGGTTACATTTGCCTTGTGGCTTGAGTACTTTTTAATGCACTGTGCCAAGTTCTTCATGGATCACTGAGAGAAGACACAAGCGCGAGCTCGCCAACTCTGACTCCTATTTCATATACTGCCTACTTTTACCTTTCTCGGACATCAGCACAAACATCTCAGATGGACTGTGGAATACCAGGGGTTTTGCATTGCAGTGTGATCTCTGTAAATGGCCTCTGATGGACGATCCACACGAAAAAAATCTTACCTAATGTCTCACTGAGATTCAGGAAATATGCAAAATATACACAGGCAGTCCCCAAGTTAACAACAGCTGACTTACGGCCAACTCCTACTTACAAACAGGCTGCCAAGAAGCCTATTATATAAAAAATTTGGGTTAAATACAGTGATTCGTGATAACTAAGACACGCACAAATTTGTGACGCTTGAGAAAACATTGCACGGCTTTAGAGGTTCATCAGCTCAACGTACAGTACAGTACCGTATGTAGTTAAATATTATTATTATTTACTACTTAGCTACAAATTCGACTTAAACACAAACTTAGGGAACGGATCTTGTTTGTAACCATGGGACTGCCTGTACGTTCATTCTATCATACATAGATATTTTTGAGCGTAAAAGTGGCACAAACAGCTTGTTTGTCTGACTTAGTCATTGGCTTCCAGGTAATATTTAACTGGGGACAGTATGTTTATTTATC